AAAAAAAATAAAAGTATTAATTTACATAAATATGTAGGTTTACAGCTTTATTTTAGTAACTGCATTAAATAAATATACCTCATAATAGGTGGTATGTCAGAAGGCTTCACTTTTCCCCAATTTTTTAAAATGCCTGAGATATGTCCTATACCAACAATTCCCACAACTCTAGGTGCTACTACCCCATTCGAAGTAGGGTGAAGCATACATGCTAACTGAAGAGAGTGTGTAAGATACAAGTCTCGTTCTTCCACAAACACTTTCTCCATTGCTGGGAAGCTCTCTTTCAAATCATGAACTATATTGTCTAATAGATTCTTTTGTTTACAAACTTCCACAACTTCTTGATTAATGTCACCTTTTAAATGTACTAGATGCCATCCCAGTTTCAAAGTTTCCCACCAAGTTAACGATCTTATGGCACGTTGAATTGTTATGTTAATGGGTCTATCCGCCAATTGAATAATACAGTCTGGTATCTTTTTCGCCTAAAGTGATACCACATCATTTATATTTATTTAGATTAGTACTTAACCTTTAACCTATTTATTCTAGTTTACCTCTTCAAATGCTCTACGAAATTCACCACCAGGTGCCACTCCAAGTTGTTTAGAAATATAGGCTACCATTCTCAATAATAAAACATATAATAATCCATTGTAGAATCCATATTTTGATAGTAATTCGGTAATACTTTCTGTAGAATTAATATATATGAATGCAAAGAAAAAACAAAGGTAATTGTAGACACTTTAATAAACCATTATAAAAACTTACGAAACGATAAATCTTTTGCATATTGATATATGACTTCTTCGTTAAGTTGCATTATCTCAGCTCTAGCTATGCACAACTCAACCACAATTATATGAGGCTGTACAGCTTGTATTATCTTAAATTGTAAGAAAATATATATTCAATTATTCTTGATTATTCTCAAATTTTATAAACAACTAAAATTCTATTTACCATAGACACATCATTTTGACTTTCAATACTAAAATGCGCTGTTCCCACTAAATATAACTTTGCTCCATAAGGCGTAGTAAGTAGTTCCACTGTTTCTGGTAACCTTTCATCTATACTGGCGTCGTATTCATTTTGATTCGATCCAATAATATCATGCTTTTTAAGATCGTTTTTGGACTGAACATTAGAACTTACTCCTGACTCACTGTTTTCTAGAGTTATAAAAATCTTCTTTGAAACGGATAGTTTAACGATGTTTGAAATTAAATAAGTTCGTAGCAAATGTCTCATTGTAATAATAAATGTTTTATGTAAAACACTATAATTAACTGATAATAATACCTTGATATTTTGACAATTTTCGTCTGTTTCTGTATTGCACTGGCATTTTGAAAGCACTAGCGCACTATTGTAGTAAATTCATCCTATAATTCAAACAGTGGTCTTACATTGATCTCATTATTACATTAGAGACAAAAGAGCGAAAGAGAGGGAGAAAGATTTTATAGGTTTGAAACCTTAGAACGTTAGCTGTTTCAAAGTGCCCCTTCAATAAAACTATATCGACTAAATAAACTATTGACAAGAACAAAGGTATGTATATTAATATTAATAAAATAGGAATGTTAACTACTTTTAATATTATTCATAAAAAAATATTTTATTTATTCATATATTAGTACCTTCAGCTTTTTTTTCCTTAATATCCACTGAAGTTTCCATTGTAGAAGATTCATTTTCTGACTCATAGGTTGGATCTATATATATACCAGACTCATTGGCAATTAATTTTTCACTCATATTTTGCATACCACTTTTGGATCTTGCATTGAAATCATCTTTTTGATTAACAACACTATATTGTTTGTTTTCTACTGATATTTGATGTTGAGACACATTTGAATTTGAATTGTCAAAGTTCTTTACATTTGACGACATTTTGTATCTAATAAATAAAGAACAAACTATAATGAATGATTCATTACTACTATCTCAATGCTAAAGAAACGTTTTACTTTTCCATATGGTAACTGATTGTAACAAGTAAATAATTCAGTTTATTTCCTCTTATGCTGTTAAAATGTATTAAATAGAAAATATTACTCAATGAAAGTACAAATAAATTCTTTTTAAATTATATAAAGGTTTAAAATCGATTTATAAAAGTATATTTTTCAACGGTTGCATACGTGAAATTTCAAGTGTATACCGTTTAATATTTCGGTAACCTCGATAAATTAACAATATGGTGCCATTACTAAAATAATTTTACTAATTATAGTAAAGTATAATTTTTTCCAAAATATCCCATAATTAAAAATTAAAAATGGCAATAGAAGGGTATAGCATTTTTAGAGTTACAGGTAAAAATTATTATGATAGTATCAAATACCTCTTTCTTGTATTTCTTTCGGTGATATCAGTCAAAATTACATACACAACAACACATTAAAAAAATACTTATTAACTACCGATTATCAAATTGACCCATCTATCAAATGTTATCGAATAAAAATTAAGTTTTGCATATTTTTATAATTCCAAAGAATGAACTGACAATCACAGATGGCGAAGACACTACTATAGTCGTCACTACATAACTATAGTCAATCTACAAAGCACCGATTATTATCAACTTACAACTATTTTTTATTATTTGCCTCCATATTTTTTCTTGTATTTTCAAAAACATGTCCCATAACTATAAACAAATTTAATGGTTGTTTTTAAAATAACAATTTTTTCAATATACTAATGAATTAAAATGATAGCATAAGCAAAAACCTCAGGCCCTCATTTACTACTGATAATAATTAGAACTTTTCAATTTGTACTGACTTATAGAGTTGATGAAATGTTTATTATCGGAAATAGTAGAAATTATTATTTCCTTTTAAAATTGTGCAAACAATTAATCAATAATTAACAATTAAATTTAACAACAAAATAAATTTCTGTTCTAATCTTTAACTACAATTAAGGATTAAATTAAAAATAAATATTTTTGTGTTAAAAAATATTTCTGTCATTTCATCACCTTTCTCTCCCCTTATTATAATTTCAAACTTTAGTAAGTTCCAATTTACTTGACGTTTTATTCAAATTCAATGTAAAAATGAACTATTGATAATTATCGATTAGTTCCAGTAATCAATCAAATTAATCGTCGATTTTTTGACGAAATTATATTAATCAAAAGTATTAATCTGTCAATCAAATAAACAATTTTAGTCGCAGAATTTCTCTTATACGAGATGTTGGAATTCATCCACTGATTTATTTAATTGTTTTTGCGTAAATAACATAATTTATTAAATCATTTTTTATAAATAAAAATTAACATATTTTTAAGTTTTATTTGTCCAATTCAAATTCAAAATCTTTCAAAATTAAAATCCCCGCCTTTTTACATTTATTATCAATTTTTTATAGTAAAAAACCCCACGCTGTCATTATTTACAGAAATTTATATAAATCTATGGTTCAATGTATATGATAAAATCGTAAAAGAAAACTTTTAACTATAATTTGAACCTTTAATTTTTATAATCACTACTGTAAATTAAAAAAATATATTTACATACTTTAAAATGTAGATAAAATATTATAGTTAGCACTATGCCATTAACTTTTCCAAATACTTGGAAATTGAATAAAAGACTACCAAAGTTTTCAATGTTTTATACTTTATTTTATATCCCTATTAATCGAAGAGGTTCTCCTCAAATGTTGAGAAACTTAAACAAACATAAATTTGAAGATGTAATAATAATAATGTCATCTGTAATATTAAGAAATATAAAAATATCAAATTCTTAATGAGTACGCATTCAATGGATGTCGTGTTGAATAATTCACGGTACAAACTGTGTTTGAAACAACAACCTTCCTTATGCGAGTAAGCTACGAAATAAAAATGTTTCTATTTGCAATAAAAAGTATGTATCTATTATATAATTTTAATGAATTCCATTCACGAAGTTTTACGATCAAATGTTTATAAATATTCAGTTTAAGATGTTATCACTGATGTAAGACACTAGAGGGCCCACATGCATTAGAACATAGATTTGTAATTCAAACATTTATTGTTCCGCAATGGTATCTTTTCAATTTCTTTACTTTTAAACATTTCTGTATACTTAATTAAATTCTTCTATACAATAAAAATTGCTAATATTACCGTATAATAAAAATAATTGGACGTCAAAGATTTTTATAACAAACACAACTTTACAAGTTTTAAACATATATTTATTATTTAATTGTTTCGTGATTCGCACATTCACACAGTTCTTAGAACTTCTTAACCTCGCGTAATTTTTATATATGTTGTTATTGTTTTGAGCTGCATTCAGTAAAAATAATCTTATTTAAGCAGTAATGAATGACACTTGATTTGTGCAAATCTGGAGGTATCAAAATATCTTTCACATGTCATAAGGAAAACGATACTTCTTTTTCAATCTTTCCTTGCGCGACAGTATCTCTTAAGATTTCCTTTTTTTTATTATTATTATTATTTTCGTTTGTATTACCAGTGTTCACTTTTAACAACATAGTAAATCTTTTTTTCATGTGTTTTACAAGTGGAAATATTTAAGGCCTTCTTCCGCAACATAGGAAACCATGATAAGTTTGATTTTTCATTTGTCAACAACAAGACTACAATTGCTTGCACCTTGTGATAATTGTGAAACTTACAAACAGCAATTCTACTTAAAAATATAAACAAGTATAGAAGAATATAGAATTATGTACTGTTATTATATTGAATCATCTTTGTCAATAGGACCCAAGTTTTCCATTTTGATTCTTAAATCTCTTACACTTCAGAAAATTATATAAGTGTCAAAATAATTCTGATGTGGATTTCTATATTCGACTATTCTTGTTAACATTGTATGACTTCTCATTGACAAGAAAAAAAACATAGAAATTCCTTAGAAAGCCATTCTTATACTAAGTACACATAGTTATCATTAATTTTTACATATATAAGCTCATTATAGTTACAGAAATATTCTATCCTTTCTGCTTGCACAAATAATGCATGCATAACCAATGGTCGATGTACTGTGTGATACTCAATCCCTGTTTCTCGACTTAAGTCTACGAAGTTTGACTAGTATGCAATATTTTTATACAATAAATAAACATTTATCCTATCTTTGTTAAAACTATTTGCGAATATCGCAATGCGATAAATTTGACCAGTGTTTAGTACCCTTTATCATGACCTTCGATATAGTAAATCATAGTTTGGAAGAATTTCTCATTAAAAATCTAAGAAAACTGAAAAAGTAAACGATACTTCCGGACACAATATTTCGAAGGTATAACGTATACATTTTCTTCCAAATTTTCGTCAGTTTTATAATGCATTCGAGGTCTTTAAATACTTGTCCTTTTACTCTTCATTCTTAAAGTAAAACGCCATAAAAATTGAATAGCTTTGCAAAGAAGCCCTGCGGGAAGAGCATAGTTTTATTTCATGCATTCATTTTGGTCATTTGGCGTTGGAAGCTACTTATCTGTTCTTTGTATAATTAAAGTACGGTAAAAAAATGTTCATCTTTTTTTTTTGTATGAAATAAAAGGCACCAAGTTTTGCCAAACATCCAGTTTGTTCGTAGGAGTTCATATCGATTACATTCTTCTATTTTTTTTAAATGCTGTAAGATACATTTAATGTCTAGAATTTTCTGTAATTTTAGGCAGTTCATGTGTTCTTGCTTATTAAAGTTCAGTTATTTTTAAGTCACGTGTGTCATATATTCACAAAGTTTGACAAATGTTCTATACAGCGGTGCTTTGCAATAAAAAATACATTTTTAATATTGATTCTGTCTCTGAAAGAACTCACACGCGATTTGTAACAATTTCAAACGAATATTCATTATATGTCCATTGCAAAATATATAGTAGTCACTATCGCGAAAACAATTAATTACATATATGTATACTGCATTTTAGGAAACTTAAATTTGTATGCACAATGTAAGTTCACTTAAGTTCAAGTATTTGATCAAATATTTTATCAATAAGTAGTATTGTGATATTAATGTATAACACAATAAGCATATCATTGGAACATATTTAATGTAATGCATATCAACTTCATTGAAACTTTGTACTTATTTAGAGAGATATGATAGCACATGAATATAATCAACCATATTACTCATCACACAAATTAAATAATGTAGTACATTAGAACATATAGAAGTGTAAATGTACAAAATATGAAAATATTGCAGACTGAACAAATTTTTCATTGGAATATAAAAATAATATATACAAAGTTTTAATGAATCTGTGATACATACCAGATTATATTCCCTTTCAATAAATTTAAATTAGCACATAAGTCTTTTGGTGTATTATAAATAAAAATTAGCCAGCATATCGTGTAATTTCTCATGTTCAAGCATGGCTACTATATATATATATTATTTATAATATATATATATATATTTATTTATTTATATATAGTTATGATTAAACTTAATTATAATAAATTACTAAATATTTGACGAAAACAGCAGCATTGGAATGCTGTAGACAAGAGAAAAACAAGAATGTTGTTACGTATGTTTTCAACATTTAAAACAGCTTAAATATATCAGCATACTTTTGCCATGTTACATACATGTATAACAAAAAGGAATATAACGTGAAATTCACAATGCACTCTTAGACCTAGGGCTTTATTACACAAAAGAGTTACTCGAATGTCTATGAATATAAAACATATATTGACACAAACTCTTTTATAGTATCAGGTTGGAGCATATGAAATGTCAGATTTTTTTTACTTGTAAATGTTTATACTCCTGGTGTTGTTATTTATTTGTTTTTCACATAAACTCTTAAACAGTTTCATTGTCTATTAACAGAGTAATGTTTTGCAAGAAAATTTTTTTGAATTGTGCATAATAACTATTTCTTGAATAGTTTTTTGAAAACATAGATATCGCTAACATTCGTGTAATTTTCTTATATGAAATCAAGCTTGAAAATAATGCTGCAAAAACCGCTGAAAACATAAACAAAACATTTGAGGGCAATACTATGAACGAAAGAACAGTGCAGCATTGATTTGTAAAATTTCGTTTGAATGATGTTTCTTTGCAAAAGCAGCCACGTGATAAATCTAAAACCGTAATTTATAACAATGTCATCAGAATTTATTAATTCTAAAACTAAGAATTTTTCAAAAAAGAAATATATTAATGATAATATATTAAGAATAAAAACACGATGGCAAAAGTGAAATCATTATAACACACATTTTGATTAAATAAACATCTTTTAGGTTTCCTTTCTTCTGCAAAAAGATTCAACATTTCATATGTACCGATCTAATAAATATATTAATTAAAAGTATTTAAACGCAAAGCAAAGTAGCAGACACTCTCAGTTTCTACTGTTACAATTTGCAGTTTCACTTTCCCCCTTTTTTTTTAAACTTCAACAACTGTGCACTTTTGCCTATCCACCACATTATTTGTATATGTACATTTCAATGCGAGAACCATAGTGTATATTCTATCAGTAAATTAAAACGATTACATTATTATATCGTTACACCCATACCTTTCAAGTATTATTTTGTACTATTCGTTTAAAAATACTGAAAGAATATATATATGGAGTGTAACAGACGGCTTACAACAGAATTGTTTTCTATGTAGCTCGATGTATAATTAATAAGTCGTGTTAAAAAATATGAATGTCAGAAATATCTAAAACTCGTACAAGTATATAATTATAGTAATCTAATTCGCATCTGCTTCAGTAGGAATATTCTTTTATTATTTGACAATACCGTCGGCAGGGCGGATTTCATTAAACGTTACTCAAGTAGTTGTGCAAAATAGAATCCGTCGATATGAATGCATTTTTTTTCACATAAACTGATGTTTATTATTTTAAGCCTACTCGACTGTTTTCATATAAAAATGAAACATTTGGAAACTTCGTAGATAAAATAGCATATAAGGCGAGCCATTACTAAACAACTGATTAAATAAATTATTCATTTCATTCATTAATATAAATAAATAAATAATATTCCATTCAATTCGTCAAAGTATCGATTTCGCGAAACATTATAGAAAGAGGAAACTATATCGAGTAAGCTTTTGATATTATATGCTATAAGGGCATGACAATTCATGGTCCCGTATATTTTTAAAAAATGTTTCGACTAGAAGATACATTAAAATACTAAACATCGTGCCAGCGATACCTTACACTTGAATTGTATGCTCGCTTGTACGTAACAAGACTTGCAGTACATATTCGTACATGTTATATCACACAGACTTACTTAGATCGTAACACAGTAAAGAGCAAAACTGAACATACATATGGAACTTTAACATAAATAATATTTAACTTAATGTTTACATATGGAATAATAAAAAACCAAAGTATATAATGTCATTTAAGTGGTTTTGTCTTTTCAAAAAAAATGTTACCCTGTGTCATCATTATTGTTTTAGTAAATATAGATTATTTTTGTAGAATCGATTTTGTGATGTTCATGACTTTGTACTAGTGTTGAGTTAGTTTTTCGTAGCTTATACAGGAATATACAATATTTTTAAAAGATCGTAATGAAACCGCTATCGCTGTGTAAAAGATAGTATTATTGTTTCTCAACTTACAAATGGTTTATCAATGGGACAAATTGCTACGAAATTTGGTATTAGCCAGTCAATAGTGCAAACAATTTGGAAATGATATTACAATGATGGTCCTACATATTTCAGTTGTGGCAAAAACTGCAGGACAGTGGCATTCTATTACAGCAAAATACTGCGAAAGTATTTTACGGAACATGTTAAAGCATGTTTAAAATGTTATTAAGGGGGGACACCACATAGATGAATAAAAATAATTTTTTTGAAGCAGCAAATACATAGAACATACCGACGGACACGAGATCTCTGCAACTACACGTCCGATTTCCTTTAAATTTGGTGGGAATATTCTACATACAATACTGTACAATGTAGTGTATGATTTTTTCGATATCTCAATTATTTAATTTTTTATAAACATTTGAGGCTAATTTCTTGGAGTACAAACAGGTTTTTGCACTTTAAAAGCTTGCCATTTCCATAATAATTAAAATTTCGGAAAATCCGTACGTTACATTTTAGATAACATATTTCTGTTTACAAATCCACACAAATTTTTGACTTCGAATGTTTCAGTTATTTGCAATCGAGTCAATTAACAATGGCTGTTTTACGAAAAGGGGTTCCGAAGCTAGCGTATAACTGTGCCATTTTGTAACATTTCAGCTTAGAAAAAATGTAAATATAAAGCAGAAGGTCACAGTTATACATCCACAAGAGATCAAAAGTTTTCACTTAATAGTTATTAACAACAAAAATCCTAAAATTTATGTATATTTAAAATGTCTCTAGGTGGCGTACTCCCTTAAGACGAAAGAATTGTGGGCGAAATATTAAACTTACAAGAAACGTAGTATTTTCATTCCAAATTAATTGTGGGTTGAAATCGACTCTACGAAAATAATTTATATCCACCAAAATAATGATAATAATAGGATTGCAAAATTTTATTTGGGAAGCTAAAGAATCCTGCAAAACACTACATTTCGTGTATTTTGTCTTGTATATGCAAGTATTCAATGAAATATTATTTATGTTAGGATCTGATACGTATGTTCGGTTTCATTTTTTACTGTATATCCTGGGCATTATGCAAAAATCTTCTTTGTTAAGTCATAATTCGACAAGATTCTGTCTTATACAAAATTATAATTTATAGGACTAGTGTATTAGTAGGCCTGCATGCTCTTGTGCTAATATTTCATTCTCAAGTGCTACTGGCTAACTCGCAAACTAAGGCATGTAGGCACGCAGTTAGCTTAATTTCATACGCTTTGGTTGATTTGTGTTTAATGTATCTGGAAAACAAAAAAATATTTCTTTACATCAACATATTTTTTTTATGAATTAGTACAGGTGACAAAAAAGTAAGTTACCTCCATTAGAAGTCGCACCAAATGCACTGACCAAAGTACAATTTTGACTTTTCTGAAAGGAAATACGATTTATTGTGAAGAAGAAAATAATAATTACATACACATCAACACATCTTCAGTAGAATTGAAGGTGAGTGGAAAGTCGCTAATTAGCCTTCAAAGGATTTGTGACAAGGTTTTGTGTATGATACATTTCATTTGTTTTACGAGGACATTTCAATGTTTCTGTCAATAATAAGCATGTTTCAAATATACTATGAAAACAATGTAGTGAAGAGTAATGCATCACAATTAAAGTTAAATACGGTCTAGATAAAAAATATATGGAAATAAAAATTTTAAAACGATTCATTTGAAAACAGAATGTTATTTTGTATGTTAAAAAATTGATATGACACTACAATTCAGTTATTGTTTTAAAAAACAGAAGATTTATTAGCAATAATGTGTAAAAGTCTCATACCAAAATAATATAATGATATAAACAAAATAATATATACTAATTCTATAATGATATTATTGCTTATATAATTTATATATATTTCTATATAATTCATTTTATTTCATTTCATTTCATTTGTATGTTTTATTTACTTCGTTAAAGATGTTTATATAAATAAAAAAATCGTTTATCCTTTTATTTTACCAATAGAATCCTATCACTATTAAACGTGATACTTTTTGTGATTACAGATCAATTGGATTACTTTTCATTACAAAGCACTGAAATGTACTAGCTGTGTCGAAAAAATGGATAATAGCTTTTCGTAGTTAGAATGTGCGAACTGTTAGTCTTGGTAGGTTCAATGAAACATCTTACTTTTTGTAACATACGTTGAAATAGACCTGTTATCAGGTGTACTGGGTCTTTCAATGATTAGTTATTACAGAAATTAAATTATAAGAGAGTAATGGATGAAAGTTAACGCATTAAAGTTAATCGGCAATTTTTTTACTTTTCTAATACTCTGCCGGTGAAAATGAAGAAAATCTTAAGCTAATTGCCTAAAATTTTTGACGTTAAAACAGGGACAAAAATTAGAAAATTTCTTTTGAAATATTAGTCTTGTAACGATCTGATGTTTGAAATAAAAAACTTTCCGTTAAAGAAGTCGAAGAATGGAAAAGAGTGGAAGAATAAAATATTCTGAAAGTTATTATATTTGAAAAAAAAACGGGAATTCATGACAGCGGCAACCAGGAATAGAATTTGGAAAGACGTGAATTCACATCAGCGGCCGCGAATGTGTTAAGAATGGCAAGCTATCAAAACACTAAATTTTCTAAAATTAAAACATAGTATCTAAAGCATATATTCATAAAGTGGAGAAAATAAAGATGTCTTTTGGTAAAGGAACTGTAAATGATCGCACTGAATTTATCTTAAAAACCGTCATAAAGTGTTCATCGTTCATGTTTCAAATACACATTTTCTTAACATACACAGAGTGTCGCAAACAAATGTTATCACACTTTAATTATTTATACAGTGTTTATTAAATATCATACAATATGTTTATAACAAGCTACATTAACGTTTTCTTAAAGTGTAGTAACATTTTTTTGCGACATCCTGTAGTTATTATTGTCGAAAAATTAAAAAAAGAATACGTACATCTCCCGTTACAGCTATTGGAGTCGTCCCTGTAGCAATTGCTACTTGATGTTCAATTAAGTAGAACATATACTCATCATATAATAACCGCATGAGGTGAAAGGACCCGAAGCTAGCTGCGCTTCTTAAAGTGAGATCACGAATGACCATGGAACTGTCGAATAAATAGTACAAGGAAAAAGTAATTGATTAATTACATTTTATATAAATATGCTAATTAATTCTCCGCCGGTAACATGCTTTTTTATTAACGCGGTCAGCAATATAAACCTTCTATGATCAGACCTGACCCATCATTGTTGCAAGTTCTGTAAAAATCTAAAAAAATTCTAAAACATTTATTATAGTCCTTGCTTTAATGCATAAATGACACTTTAGTTAAATCTTCTTATCATTTTGCAATAAAAATTAAAAATCGAGGTGAAGTCGTGAAAAAATGAGATTCTGCTTAAAGATGCATAACTTTGTAATAAGAAAATATTAAACGAAGATACTGTAGGATTTTATTCATAAGAGTATGATCTTTCGAAAAATTATAAAGAGATTTGCCAACTATTGAAAAAATATAATTATTTCGAGATTTCAATTTGGGAGATTTCTCAGTAGGTTATATCAATGGAAAATAAAGTAAAACATTATTCTGAAAAATGAAATTGTAAACGATGTATAAAACTATGTACTGTAATACTGTAAACTGTACTATTGCTCTGCATTGAATATTTCTAAAATAGTTTAACAAACCACATTAAGGGAACAAAAATTATTTTATCCTCTTAAAACTTAGAATTGAACTGATCACGAAAAACGGTAGTTGGAATGTCTAATCTCTATAGGTACAAGATTTTTTAGGTGGTAGCTAACCATGCTATTTTTTAGATAGTAGTAACCCAGGCAATCCGACTTCTCCGTTTTGGAGAAGCTAAACAATGAAATTATCAACAGGACTATAAATGGTCCATATTGCCGGCGGAGGGTTAAGTACATTTTTTAAATACATATATTTGGAAGTTACCTATAAAAGGACCACTTGAGCAAAAATTGACGTGCAGCTTTTGCAAAGGTGGGTTTCTCTTCGAATGGTTTAAGAACTTGCGTCACAACACTTTTCAACCAAATCGCCCAATCTTCTAATGAATTTTGTTGTTGTAATGTTACTTTAAAATCTGCCTCTAAGCGTTGCACCATTGCGTAATCACACTGACAAACCCAAGAAGCCTGAAAAAGATCGATTTATACATTCTGTGCAAATATCAATTGTATAGAGATCCAATTGTATTCTCTTAATGGAAATACCTGTTCTTGTACATTATGGAAATCAACACGATTCAAATCCGCTAACATCTGATGTATTTGACTCGGATTTTGAAGTACTGCACGCGCGGCTTGAGCAAGGTGATTTAAAGACGTGTAACGCCTTAATGTCTGAGCAAATGCCGATACAGCTGTTAACTGAAATAAAATTTACTTACTTAGAATTAATTTATAAACATATAATCTATAAGACTACTCTACTGATACCTTTATTTGAGTCATCTCTTCTGGACAATCAGCCATTGCTGATGTTAACCAAGATTCTAATCCTTTCGCAAAATTTCGAATAGATTGTGTCAATGAGCCTGAAATTATCACGAAATGTATCAAAATCCCAGGCATATAAACAAGAGAATGGCATTACTTACTCGGTATGGGTCGCAATACATTAGGCATTAATACTTCAACCAAGTTTTGATAAAATGTGTAGTCTACTTTCCTAATGAAATCTTGAACTTCCGAACACTTACACATCTGATACAATTTGGTTCTAAATACATGATAGATTGAATTAAAATACTGTTTAGTTAGGAAAAGAAAGTTTTACTTTAAATGTGAACTTACTTCGATAAATATTTTTCTTCTTCACACTCATCCCCATTATTATTGTCTTGACTACGCCAAAATTCTCTCCAAAGGCTTTCCACGGTAGCAAATTCAAAAGTAAGAACAGCATCCAAAAATGCTTCACAATGTTCCCTGTATATACTTCGAAATGTATCGATGTCTTCTAACGTACAATCCTCAGGAAGGGAGGATCCATGGCCAACTATTATTTCAGGGAATTCTGGAATTGCACCACTCGCTTCACCAAGATACTGATGGTACTGTGGCGGTGAAGCATTTGAAGAAATATTCGTATTTGAATGTGTATTATTTTCGTACGTAGTATCCTGCTTTTGATTTACAAATTTGAATCGTTTTGTTTGAGAATTTGCACTTTGTTGCTGTCGGGGTGTCCCATCTTCATTTAACATCATCAATGGAGAACTAGGTTTCACTCTAATTCCATAGTAATGATATTTTGAATTTCCTCTATAAAGAAATATAATCATAATTTATTAATTCGTTAAAACACTAACTGTTTTTTTTTTAACCCTTTCGATACGGCTATGTGGTTCGCGAGTATAGTTCTGGATACTCGAATTGCGAACAAGATTTTACTGTACGGAACAGTTACAACGCAAATCCATATTTTACTGTGAAGAGATCCGTAATCGTACAAGTAAAACAGCTGTGTTATTCGATTAACACTAGAACTACCAGACAATACAAGATAATCCATTTTGGATTTCTTCCTTTACAATTTTTGGAAAAGATACAAATGCTTTCTTAAAATACATATTAGATAAGATGCTTGGTAGTTATAGTATTAAAGCTGTGAACCAATACAAAACATCGATAGGTGATTATAGTCACCATTAGAATAAGGTAAGCGTGTAGTGATGAGTAATTATAGTGACACCATGAGCACGAAATAATGGGTGAACTATAGTCATCAGTAGTATCGAAAGGGTTACACAAAATGTAAGATTTTTACCTGGTGCCTAACCGTCTGGTTCTTAAACCCAAAAAGACAGAGCGAATTAATTTTCCAAAGCTTGCTGCATTTACAGGATCTAATTTATTTTCAGAACAATGACGTAAATAATGATTGTAAAGGGTAGACCTTGGAAGAGAGACACCATCTGCTGTTTCATAATTTTCAAGCAACCAGTGAACCTAATTAGATAATAATTGATATGATTTCCAAGTATAGAAGAAACTTCTATTTTTCCTAACTACAATACATTGTATTAGGTCGTGTAATATGAAATGTCGGATTTTGCGGAGAAAAAGAAACTTTAATTGATGTTCTAAAAGACGTTTATTCGACCAAAATATGCTCTATTCGATTCGATACACTTCTGCCAACATGATTTTAATGAGTATATTCTTTTTAGAATTAGTAAATTCTAAAGACATCGTTATAAATTACTATTTCGGGTTTACCACGCGGTTAATTTCGCAAAGAAATATCATCCAAACGAAATTTTACAAATCAACGCTGTACTGTTCTTTTATTCACAATATTGTCTCCAAATGCTTTGTTTATATTTCAAACGCTTTCTGCAGCATTTTTTTCAAGTTTGAATTCATGCAAGAAAATTACACGAATGTTGCCGGTATCCATGTTTTCAAAAAATGATGCAAGAAATAGTTATTATACATGATTCGGAAAAACTTTTTGTATGAAAAACAAAGGAATAACAATTGTAGGAGTACAAACACTTATGAGTAAGAAAAATCCGACATTTCATATTACACAATCTAATGTATGTTACAAAAGGAACATAACATTACAAACTACTTTTAACATTCTTAGTTACTACCAGTATATATGTTAGAAAAAAAAATTCTCTATGTTACTGCACAAGTGGATGGAACCTTAAACTTTATTTTACAAAAGCATCCCTAAAGAAATTGCCGATGGACATGCTACCATGAATTAGTATACAGCGAAGCCTGTAAATAGGGATTATGTATCAGCTTACTGTTGCTTGGGAAACTCTAGTAGCATGCGTCATGTTTGCTGCTGCAGCTGCAGCATCTTCCACGGTGACTGTAGTACCTCCTGAATTACCGCTGATCAAGTATGCCCCTCCACCCCCGCTAACCACAGTTTCCTATCAAACAACCCAAGACACCAATAGCTCATTAAACCCCAATTATAAGATCCACAATGTTTCTCGTTATAGATTTTCATTCACTGGAGAATAAAATGTATTTCTACTAGGAATAATTTCATGATTATCATTCATGTTTCATTCCAAAAATGTAGTATCCAATAAATACTACCCTTTCCATCCCCTTATTATCATGCAGGGCTCCCATGCCTGCAATTTCTAAACGTTTACTCACAAGAAAGTAAATAAAATAAAAGCAGTCAAGGGTAATCATTATAAACATGCATTTCTATCTTACCGCATTTTCCGTTTGTGGACTAGCACGTGCTGCAGCTGCAGATATTAATGCATGTGCAGTGGGATCACCATCCACAACACTTTGTTGGATCAGATACGTGCCATTACCCTGAGATAATAACTGTCCAGTAGTCGAATTCGAACCTTGCCCAGTAACCTAAATTCATACATGTATCACTAATAACACATTTAAATAAATTTTCTGATATAAATTGTATAGTATATCGTTAGTATATTAAAAAATTGTCATACTTTACCTGTGCATATGTTACTGGTGTAGATGCTGGTGTATAATATTGGCTCGAAGCAGGAGTATACATTGCTCCTGCTTCTCCAACAGCGTATACAGGATATGTCCTACAAATACGCAACTTTATCATTATTTTATTACTTTCTATTATCAACATTTTCATTTGATATAATATTTCTCTACTTACATCTGACCATTTGTCGGTATATACGTGGAACCATCCCCCTCAACATATTGAACATAGGTAGGATGAGAAACTGATTCGGACCCCACTGCCTCTGGTTCTCCTGATACTGAAACAAACATAATAAACTTTAATCTATATGCAGTAAATAATCTTTCCATTTAAATAAAGCTTTACAGAGAATACACAACACTTAAGTACTGTAGGATTGTACTTGTTCAAAGAAATTAATAGAAAATATGTGTACTTTTGACGTGCTCTGAATTTAATATTCACATACTTATATTTCTTTTTCTTCATAGTATCATTATGCAGATATAACTGTTATGTATGAATAATATACTGATTCATGCAAAATCAGGTGTTCACCAACAAAGAATATGTTGTAGTTCTATATGCAAGGTGTCCCGAATTTTGTCGGTCAAACTGCGGGAGCATATTTTACAAGTGGAAACATGAAAAAAATGTTATTTAAAGTTCGATTAAAAACACTTTATTACGAAGTTATAAACAAATGAAATTGAATTAGACAATGGCGAATTTTACTTCACAGAATATGAATAATTGGACGTGTTTACAAAAAGTAAAATCCGCCGTTACCTATTTCAATTTCACTTGTTCATAACTTTGAAATAAAGTGTTTCATACCCAACTTTAAATAACATTTTTTTCTTATTCCTGCTAGTAGAATATGCTTCCGCAGTCTGCCCGGAAAAACCCAGGACACCCTGTATATGCTGCATACAATTAGTAAAAATGGATAATACATGCTGATTATATTCTGCCCTCACCTACTGCCGTTGTGAGGGATGCGTAGGATGGTGAATCACTGGTGCCTAGTGTAGTCAGAGTAGAAGAACAGAGGTGCATGTTTTTCAGCAGCATGGAAAGGGCCAAATCTCTACTCAAACACTATAATTTTTCAAACTGATCCTGATACTCACCCTTAATATAAAACGACTTGGAAGAAGTCGTTTAATGACTTATACTCGCATGACAGTGTTTATACTAATTGTTACAAAACTAACATTTCAAATTTAATGGATGTTTATATGTTTGTAATGAATAATTTTACATCCAATATAGATGAAATAATAATATAATAAATCTGTTTTATCGAAAACTCACCTGTAACAGTAATAAAATGTGGAGAGCCACCAACGATAGTACCAGCTGATGTGGATGCAGCGTCAGAATCAACGAGAGTGTGTTGACCTGAATGAGTAGTATTCACTACAACTTGGGCTGTAACATGTGCTGGAGTACCTGTTGAGCCGTTGGAAGAATCTGCAGCTGTTTCAAGCGGATCCTGAACCAATAACTGTATTATTATTTATAGTAGGCATGTCCTCTGTATCAACGGTAATGTTCTATATATTAACATAAATATTTAGTAAGCAGTACAAGTTTAAATATTATGTAATTAATAAAGAAAATTAATTTTTGAGAAAATTATAACGCAGCTGTATATAAAATATTAATAGCACATCTTAAAACATCTTACAAGTAATATTATTGTAACATTAATTACAGTAACATTGAAATAATAAAGTATCACGTAATGTAACAAACCTGGATAGGTTGTAGATTGTTTGGACTGGAAGGATCAGGACTGGTAACAACAGTGATAAGTTGCTGGCCCCTTGTCGATTGACTCTGTGCTGCACTACCACTGCCACTGGAACTGGAAGTAGTCACGACAACAACGCTTGACTTAGGTTCCACCCCCACTGTTGCAGAGTTACCCCCACTATTATTAGCTCTGGTGGATGCTGCGAGGGCATACTGGGCTCCTGTCGTAGTCATGGCAATCACTCCTTCACCTCTCTCTGCTCCCACGATATTACTACTACTGCTACCTCTCCGTTTCTGGAGAGAAGGGTCTGCAACGTAGACATGTAACACACACAGATGTACCAAATATCAATAACGTCTTCCAACAGACTCAAAGCTTGAACAACTACTATAATAATCTTTCATTAATTTAATCACTTTGAAAAGTACAATTCTCAAGGTAAATAGTTAACTAATGAGTTACAGGAATAAAATATTAGGCTTGTAATATAAAATAACAAAAGATTGGATCATCTTAGAAGGAATAAGCATTGTTTACATTTTATATGTAAAGTAGAATATTCTATAACAGATATACAGCATACATTGATTACATGTTATAACTGTCATTTATATATGTTCTATAAGTAAGAAATGAAAGAAGATGGTAATAAATATATCGTAAAATTGATTGTCATTATTATTATTATTATTATCAAATATTGAATAATACATGTCATGTGTATGTTACAGATAAATTAAATAGGGTCAAAAATTGTCGACGCCCGAAGTGGACATTAGATACACCGATGTACATATTAATAAGTACCCTAACCTACATAAAAAAAAACGATCGGTACGTAATTTCTTGCAGGTGTGCAGCATTCAATAATCTATAGATCAAAGGGAAGCCCTGAAGAGCTTCCAATACAAATGAAACATGACATTGTAGTTACAACGTGTAATGTATCAAGATGTGTTAGTGCACCCTGTACCTGTAGGGTGGCAGGTACCAAACACAATGTTTCAAAGGGAAGGAAACGAAAGGGAGAAGGGTAACAGCTAAAACGCACTATACGCGTGACTGGACATGTAGGGTCCTTTTGGGGGGGGGGTTAAAAGTATCAGTAAAGAAGGTCAGATTATAAATGCAATTAGAGAGTATTAAACTCCTTTCCCATTGATAATAACACATTTAATAGTTAGCACAAATGTTCCTGAGACGAATGAAGGATTTACGGGTACAAAAGGATGAAACGTTTTAGTTCATATTACACTCGTCCCTCAATTTACATAGTAATTTTTTTTACGTGTAAATTAGAACACTATTTACGCGGTAGTTTTTATGCGCAATCTGAATTTAGTAACACCGAATAAAACGTACTTTTGTTTTTTCAAATGTATTATTATTATTTTTTGTTAAGCTATGTGAAATGAATATGTATTTGTAAAACTTATACCAGCTTTTCTTTCCAATATACTTGTTTTCCTTGTACCAACAAACTCTATTTACGCGATTCGCGTAAAACGAATCTACGTAGAACAGATTTTCGCGTAAATCGAGGGTCAGGTGTATAAAGTTCTTTTTTCTATTTATAATGAATGGAAAAAGAGAAAAAAATATTTTGCATGAATCTTCTTTAACATAAGGTACTGTGTCATTCTACAAAATTGTAATTACATTGGGAAACATACTGTGTGTGCACCTGGCTTGTTACGCATGACTGGTGCTTGGGACTGTTCTGCATACCTTATCTATTATCCTGCATTGCATGTTCCCTGTTCTTTTATTATATTAAAATATTTATACAGTTAAAAGCTTATAAGTTTAAAATAAGTTAACGATCAAATAGTTTATCATCAGCTGAATGCTTGAGAATAGCTGCTTTAAAATTGCACCACCTTTTTTATGCTTCAGGAAATTCATTGACGTAATTGATAAGCTCATTTTAATTGAAAGCTACAGAGGCTTCCAAATATTAGATACTACCCCACGTATAAGGGGACATAATAAAATCACTAAAGCGTGATACAACAGGGGAACACACAACAGAGAAATCTGCAATGGTTTCCTCTCATCGAGGGAGCAATATCGAAGGAATTGATTATTTTTTGGCATAGACATATCAAGAAAAATCATTAAAACAGAAAATAGTATAAAATTTGTAAGAGAATAAAATGTTTGAAATGTAATATTCAATGGTCTTTTAAATTGAATGTACCCAAAGTTTTCTATTACTTAATTTGTTTATATCTCTGAACAGAGGTCCAAAACAAACTGGATGGGGAATTCGGTACAAAAATTTACAATAAAGAAAACACACGAGGGATTTCATATTAGCAAACAAATGATCATATGAGTATTCTAAAATTAGAAATAGGAAAATATGATGAATAGTTAGTAAACTAATAAACGCAAGTGTATTAAGCTCACAGTAATTGTCAGTGAATAAATACGTGTTGTGAACGTTAAAACATCGTTATATTGACGATATACTCTAACACTGAAGTTCCACTTTATACACGATATTTTTTCGAATGCGTATAAGAAAGTTGCGGGAGGAAAATATTATGGAAGGAAAATGATAATTGTAATAGTGATAAAGCGCGGTTTGTATGTCTCTTTTTACTCACCTGTATTCATGAATGGCGTGTACTCTGAACACGACGCCCGGGTGCACTTGCGCGGCCGAACGTTTCCCCCCACGTATTCCAGTCGGCCTTTTCCCGTTCAAGGAAAAGCCGTGCCTGTCACCCAGGAAACCACGCGGACAGCCAAGCCACCGTGCAAGTGAAAAACCGGAGCAGTACACTCCGACAAACCTGTATATTTTGTTGTCGACGGCTGGTCGGAGTGTTGGTTGTCTGCTGCTGCGGTCTCCTTGACTACGGCATCACTGCCCGCGTCACAACCAGTACCGTACCAAGTATTTACTTCTCCATGGGGTATAATACCTCGATATGCAGGGTGTATAATACATTTAAAATATAACAAAAAAAATAGTATTTTCTAATAATACGATGAAGCAATTGTAAATAATCTATTGAAACGAGATTTGTATAAATAATTTAAAAAATAAATAGCAATAGAGTAGAATATAAGTAGAATTGAATTACACTGAAATATAATTAAGTTTGAATGTATCTGATATTTTTAACATAGAAAAGAAAACGAGTACTCGTTATTGTCAAAAGAAATTAAAACATTCGAATGAAATCTGTTTGTGAAAGTTTCATTAAATTTTTGTTACGCCACTGAATAACGCCGCGCGTGCCCCTATTCCGGCTTTGATAAGCACTCAAACGATCGATTAAATCATTCAAATCAGAATTGCTTGCTAGGTGGAGATTTACTTTTATTTTTTTATAAAGGATTCCTGGTCTAAAAGCAGTAAATATTATAAATTAAGGCCGTGCAGTGCTTGCACGAAATATCTTCACGTGCATGCGCAAACGCGTGTTAATGCGCACATCACAATACCAGTCAGTCGCATTGTGACATTTTCTTTACTTCGATAAATGTAATTGCTTTTTGATTGCATATCCTCTTTCTACTAAATGAAACATACAGAATGTAATAATACATTTTCTGTAAGCGACTGCAATGGTTGTATAATGCATTCAGGTTAATGAGTCATGTAAGTAACACCGCGCTTTTGAACGGCGCGCTGTTCGAAATTATCGAATAATTTACATGAAGTTTATAAATTATCTAATATAGATGAATGTATAAGTGCAATTGGTAATTGATAATGTATTACATGGAAAGCCAGCGAACCCCAATATATATTCGTAAATTAATGACTAAATACATACTCAAAATAAATACAAACGTTTTCATACGCGAAAATTGATGAAAACTATAAAAATTGAAAATTATATTTTTAGAAAATATAAAACTTACTCGTCACCGGATTTTGTGATCGGTAATGAATAATTGGCAGTGAGGAATCTTCCGCCATCAGTATAGAATATTTCTTGGAGAAAACAGAACCGTATTCGTCATTTTCCGCCCAGTCCATCATTTGAGCAAATTGTTCGAATTTTTGATCGCGGGAAAAAGTGTCGAGTGTATCCCAGAGATACGGTTTCCACGGGTGCAAAATATTTTGCTTTTACTTTGGAAAGTTGTACGTTTATTTTTTCACTACGCTTCGCAACAATTGAAAATCAAATTATTGGTCTTCAGTTATGAAAGAACAAGAAAATGCGATGTTTCGTAAAAATATGTGACGAAAAAAGGCGGGTAAATTATATTCGCATGATATATACTTTATTATATTACGTTTATTATATGCTTATTTAATTGCATCCGTACTAACGAATAAATACATTTTTATCGGCATAACGTAACCGAAGTTTTCCTAATTGTTTTCTTGAAACATGATCGATGCGCGTATATCGTATTCGTGCTTTCCGTAATGCTGCGCATTGTGACGCAGTATCGTTGAAGTTCTCTAACTTGACAGTTTAAAGATGATGTCGGAAAACGATGTAGAAAATTCAAGTGAAAGAGTTACAGACGACTCCGCAATTTTGGAAGTAAGCACAATGGCAGTTGGGGGTGTTATCAAACAAGAAAGTCGCGATGCAGATTTTCTTTCGAATTGCAGTACCTCTATAGAAGGCTCTGTGGTAAGAATATAACCTGAATTATTTTTGAAAAATGACCTTAATTGTAAAGAGTTGAAAACAACGTGAATATCACATTTCATTTCAGTTTGTTTATTGAAGGGTGATAATAACATTCTTTAATCAATTAAAGAAAATGAAACTTTCAGGTAGCGTCTCCTTCTCTTGATAGCTTCTCCACTTTACCAGAACAGGAAATATCAGATTTTCAAACAGATTCTCGAGATCTACAGGTAAAAGTGGATAATCCGCAAAAACACCTTGAAACGCTCGAAACTTATATTACCTTCCGTATAACAACAAAAGTAAGTTTATGTTTTAGTTTGTCTTTGGAGACTATATTATAAGATCATTTGGTAATATTCCTATTTTGCATTAGTCGACAAGACCAGAATTTGAAGAGGGAGGATTTGAATATGTTGTTCGAAGACGATATAATGATTTCATTTGGCTGCGACAGAAGTTAGTGGATTCGTATCCAACACATATCATACCAGTGAGTGGATATATATTTAGGAAGCACATTAATTAAATATGTACTTCTTTACCTTCTAGGGTAATATAATATTTTAAAAAGATTGCATCTTAACTTTATTATTATAGCCGATGCCTGGGAAACATACATTACTTGCTCAGTTAGATCGTTACTCCAAAGAATTTATTATAGCTCGTATGAAACTGTTACACATATTTCTTAACAGAGTTGTTAATCATCCTATTCTTAGTTGCGACAAAAATTTGTATATCTTCTTAACTACTAAACCTGCAGTAAGTACATTACTTACTATTTGTTTATTTAATATTTTTTTAGATACTATAGTTTTTCACATTTTAGGAATTCCTTGTTCATCGTAAAAATCGTGCAAATGTTCTTGTCAAAATGACTGATTCCTTACAAAATATAGCAAGCACATATACTATGAAGCAACGTCACTTTGAGTTTGAACAAGTTCGAGACTATTGTACAGCTCTTAGCGAGAAATTAACTACTATAGATAAAATAAATCACCGAATATACAAAGAGAGGCAAGGTATTACAAGCAATGTCTGGTTTTTGCATATTTTTAACATGTATCATTAATACGCCAAACTGTTACTGTGTTTGATTAGACTACTTGCTTGAACTACATCAGCTACATCCAATATTCACATTATGGGCAACTTCTGAACCAGAACTTGCCTCTATTCTATTAGCAATGGCCAAAGCTATAGAATGTAACGCAGTGGCTCAACAAAAGCTTCTGGAAAATGTTCCACATGAAGAAAGAGAATATATTTCATATATAGACGCAGTTAAAAGTGCTCTATCTCGGCGAGATTCAATGCAAATTGAATATGAAATGACTATCGATGACTTGACAAAGAAAAGATCAGAAAAAGATCAGGTGGGTGTGTGAAATGCTTAATGTAACAAATTAAAGTAGGTTATAATATTAATTTTTTTTAACAGTTAATGGGACCCTCGAGTGGTACGGTTTCAACTCAAAATTGGGGTGGATCCTTGTGGAAAGCAGAATCTCGCGATGAAAAATTAGAAAGACTTGGACAGACGATCCCACGATTAGCAAAACAAGTAGAAGTGTTGCAGGATCGTGTAGAGTGTGCTAATGAAAACTTGCGCAGCGATTTACAAAGATGGAACGTGGAGAAACAGATGGATTTAAAAAATATGCTGGTCTCTATGGCAGATCGACAAATTCGTCATTATCAGCAATGTATGAATGCATGGGAAGAAATTCTTACTGGTTTAAAGTTAGATGGAATAGGATCTGATGTTACTGTAGGACCACCTATTAAAATACCCGTTTAAAGCTATAACAAACTCTATTTTGCCATTTGGACAGATTTATACATCTTAAACATCTCGTGCATTTATAAAGGTAAAGACATAAAACACAAAACACATTTGCTATTACTGATGAAACGTTTATTGCAATTAAGAAACTGACCTCACCAGCTTCAATGTCACTGCTTTAGCAATTAAATAACTTTATCTCGTAAGTTTTAAATGTTCTTTGTCGAAAAGTTCGATCAGTACTTACATAAAATACAAGTGCATTCATTAGATGTACATGTTGCACATTTGTATAATGTGTTCATAGTTTCGAATATAAAAATGTTTATGGTAAAATGGCTTTATAATACAATAATGTCATGAAATGACATGAAAAATTAAATTAACACATTTAAATCCTATAAATATAAGTAGGGCAAATTTCGGCATAGAATCAACTACGATCTTAAGATATAGTTTCCTTTAGATCACCAATTAAGTTTGGGACCAAGTACTAAATGATTTTTCACTAGTTCTTCTTTCTCTTACTTTAAACCACATACAATACATTTATTGACAATCAGTTTTTTAGTCACCTGTATCCGATAGATACCAAAGTTATCTATGTATTATAGATAGTCAATGTATAATGCTAGAATACAATTTACAAATTCGAGCAAACGCTTACAATGTTCGTTGTATCGTTG